TCCTGTCATCACTTGAGAACTTGTATGGTCAAAATGCCCATTCTTAAGATATTATGTAGTAACTCCCGCTGGCCTTGCAGGTCCACCGCCAGGCCCCTGATGTCAGGGGGTGTGGCATATGCTAATGAGTTATGCTAATGAGTCCCCCTAGCTCTTTTTCTACGAAATGACCCCTGCTGTGGACCATTGGTTATTAGCACCACCATCAATTGTTGAACAGTTGGCATCAAACTAGGGAGGTAACAAAATAAACTGACTGTCACCCAGTGTAATCTGGACCTGGTCTGCAGTCTTTCAGGTGGTATCATTTGCTGGCCCATATTTCATAATGTAAACATTCAAAGTGGACCTTTTAGTTTTCATAGGCAAAATTGGCTGGATCAGAATATAAAATATGAAAGGGGCTGGCACAGTATGGGAGTTCTTAGCAGGAAGAGGTCAGTTAAATATCAGGTCATAGATGAGCTGAGTTACACTGCTTTCAGAACAATGTTGTGTTTTCTCTGGATCTTTAATATGGTCTTTCTGTGTTGAATACTTTTTTCTGGCTTGGTTTATTCAAATTTGTTATTTTGGCAAAGAACAAAGGTGAGCTTTGTTCGATTCAGAATCACACCACAAGGAAGCTTGACATATGACATCCTGACTTGACAAATGGTGGTTTGTGACTGCTGGTACCCTGAAGCAAGTTTGCAAACCACGGTTTGCACTAGGTATGGTTTGTACATTATCTGATTGTCAGCTCATAGTTAGGGGCATAGTTCTTCCTGTGGAGGTCAGCTAAACACTGCCTGAAAATTGGAAAGCTGGCGCAAGTATTTCTTCAGCTGGCTAACTCCCTTGATCTATCTCCCTGGGAATAGCCAGCCAGTGGCAGTGATAATGTAGTAGCACATATGATACCAAATTGCATTTAGTTGACCAGGGTAGAATGGCTTGGTACAACATCTGGGGACTCAGATAGGAGGCAGGCAAGTAAAAGACATAAGCAGGAAGATGGATTCACTCAGCATCTCTAACCATGATTTAACTGTAGATGAAACCGCAAACCATTGTTTGGATTTTAAAGTATAGTTGGTGCAAGCTATTGTTTGGTGAAACAGCTTGAACTACTAAAGCTATTATTGCTGATTTTGGATGGCTCCAACATGAACTAGTATTTTAAAGTTTCAAAACATTGACAGCAGGGGTCATTTCCTGCAGGAGCGCACAGGAGCGGAGCTCCGGCAGTAAAGAGCCTAGGGGGTGGGCACATGCAACAAGCTCCGCCCCCTGCTCCCAGCAGCCCTCAGTCAGAGCAAGAAGCAGCCAGGTAAGCTGCAGAGCCCCAGCCCCCTGGTCCAAAACTGTCAGGCACAAGCTCTCCCCCCTCTGTGAGGACAGATCTGCACGTTCCCCCCCCCTCCATAGCTAGCAATGCAAAACAGTCCAGTGGCACCTTTAACACCAAGTTTTATTCAGGTACAAGCTCTCCCTCCTCTGTGAGGACAGATCTGCATGTCCCCCCCCCAATAGCTAGCAATCCAAAACAGTCCAGTGGAGCCTGAATGGTGGGTGTTGCCTTCTGACACACTTCTGGTGATGTCAGGGGGTGTGGTATATGCAAATAAGTTATGCTAATGAGCTCTGCTAATGAGCTCCTGCACCTCTTTTTCTACAAAATGACCCCTGATTGACAGTATAAAGAAAAAGAGGCTTTTAAAACATGTCTGAAGAGGAGCTAAAATTGAGCCAATATGATTAATAAATAATAGTATTTCAGGTGTTTTCTTCATTTTAATTTCTGTGCAGTCTCTATTAAGTAGCTATGAAATAGTGGAATTTTGAAATTCAGGCCCCCCCCCAAACTAAGAAAATAAAGGCTGTGAGTTGGTTTTTAATCTAAATTTGTGAATTATTTGCAATATGATTAATATTATGATAGGTAGTACTGAAATATTTTATACAATTACTTTTCACTTTCTGATGACCATTCAAAGCTATCGGCTACTGCTTAATTTTCATTGGTAATGTAAAACTAAATACATTTTACATTTAACAGCTGCATTTTAAAATTGTTTGATTTGTTTAAATTAAATTGTTTCAATTGTTTGATAAAGCTGCACATTCAAGTATAGTGGCATTTATAAATGGAATGAGTTTTAGAAAAATGCAAGAAGTTACTCTGAGTTTCTTTTCATTCTTAACTGCTCTTCCTATAGCTAAAATAGTAATGGGAAATTCATGAACATATCTTCCCAGAGTTAAAAAAGAAAAAGATAGTAGGGGCATGATATGGTGACTGGAGAATTAACCCTTTTTCACCAGTTAAAAAACTGTCCATTTTCACCAGTTAAAACCACCCCCACCACCCCCTTCTAGCTATGAAAGGGAAAAGGGCAGGTACACTCTTTTTGGATGTTATTTCCTCCTTTAAAAATACTATTTGCAGATCTCTCAGCATCACATTAGTTTTGTGAGGTAACTGTCACTTCTGTTCAACCAGAAAACACTGGTGTCTTGATGACTTGATGATAAGGCTTCTCACAGGTTTTGTGAATTGTCATGCTATCCATTTTGAATACATCTGAGAACATGATCATAATAATAAGCACAGTTCTAAAAAGTTGCTTACAAATGATTATCATCCCAGTATGTTATGTTCCCTTACTTTTGCCAGATGGGCTGGGGAGAAAGAGTTTTTTTAAAACTCTGTATGAATAGATTATAATAGTTTACATGCATCTGCCTCCCTTAACAAAATAGACAGCTATTCTGAGATGTTGTTACAACTACATTGTAAAGTGGACTCTAATAAGTTAATGCATTTTCAGGCACCAGTGTAGGTAACGTTTGACATATTACTTGTTTCCCTGTTTATTCAAAAGAGTTTGGGCTCTCTTTATTATATGTATATCCTTCCTTTCTTTAAAAAAAAGTAGAAGACAAAGCAACATTAAATATAAACTAGTGGAAGCAGGCCTGCAGAAGGGGCCTTGCTGACTCTCCCTCCCTCTTCTGCAGGGACAGGTACTTACTGACTGAGGAACTGGTATCAGCTGGGCAAGACAGGCCTCTGGAAGGGCCTTGAGTTCTCTCTCCCTCTTGTTCTTCTGAACTGCAGAATGGCTGGTGGCTAATGGAAAGTGTTGTACATATTAGATTCCATGTCAAAAATGAAGTCAAATGAGGAGGAAGTTCTTGTATTTTATTGTAATGAAATATGGAAAACAGTTAGGCCAAAGGACCCATCAAAACTGATTGCTTTCTTCTCAGCATAATCAGGAAACATGCCTCAATTAATAGGAAAGCAATTAGACCAAATAGTTAACCAAAAATGGACAACTTTCTTCTTTTTCTTCTTCATCTTCTTCTTGAGCATATTCTGAACATATTCAGGAAATACATGATATTTTATACATGGACTGACATCATCAAGAAAACAATATTCAAACAGCATAATTGGTTACAAAAGACAATGGTAGTTTGAGTAATAATCCTCTGATTGGCCAGATATAAAGAAACATATCTACATCAAACTAAGTGTTTACTTAACCTAACCTAAATGATAATGGGCAAGGATTCTTCATATCAGACTAAAATCTTATCTGACCCAGACATTGAAAGGTTTGCCCTAAGAACTACAGAATCATGAACTTTGTACCTATTATGTTGTCTGCTAACAATATCAGACCTACAAGAGGAAAGCCTTCTATATAACAGGCCTTTCTAACATCCTAATAAAATATTACTTAAAGAATAAATCTATAAAAACCCGAGAAATATGAATATGAACAATCAAGAAGGAAAAAACCTATATATGAAAATCTTTATATTCCCATTCATACTACAAAAGGTTACCAGAAAAGAGTTGAGTCAACCAGGTCAAAAGGAAAGGGCCTCCCTCTCCCCTTCTCCAGTTGTGAGTTTTTCCTATGTTAAATAAAGTGTTCACATATGGTCCGGGTGTGTAGGTTTTACACATGGTGGTGCAGACATAACCTTTGGGCTTGCGCACCATTTCTGACTACACGTAGAACTTTGTAATATGTTTCAATGTCTGCGCAGATGCTCTAGTAATGGGAACTGCCGCACTGAAGACCAGGCCTTATGTGAACAGACTAACCCATAGATTATAGGAACATGTCAGATTCCTTTGTTGTAGGGACAGATATTGGGGATGTAGTGCCCTCCAGCTTTGCCTTTTTCCTTGGCAGGCCTTGAGAAGGTCTCAGTTACCAGGAGGAGGGTTTGCTTGCACCCTATTCTGTCTCTTCTGGCTTCCACGGTCCTCTGCCTTGTAGCCTGGGGAATGGCCTGGGTCTTCTTCAGTCTGCCTTTTGAAGGGTTTCCTGGGGGAGGGAACATCCCTAGCCTCTCTTCCTCCCTCCAGTCCAGGGTATAGGCCCTGTAAACTGTCAGAAACCAGGGACAATGGGGGTTCCTTCTGGGTCCGGGCACACCCTGTCCCACCCTCCTGGCCTCCACTAAAACAGCTTGCTTATAGCCTGCCTAGACTTTGTGAGGCTGGAACTGCCTGTCTCCTCTTCCACCTGGCCAGGTGCTCTCCCCTGGATCTGTCCTCCCTGTCTAGGAATTCCCTGTATTGGGCTGGGTCCCACCCTGCCTTCTTTGTTGTTGCCATGCCCTCCAGATCCTTTGGGCCATCTGAAACCTTGGTGTATTGCTGGGTGGCTCCCTTGGCTGGGCAGCCTCTAATCAGATTAGTAAGTGCGGGGGCACAGCCTCCATACAATACATTAAGTTTGTGAAGGCTTAGATGTTTTATTGGTGAGGTCTGGTGTCAAAAATACTACACTGTTTAGCAAATCTTGTTGACCTTGGAAAGTTTTAGGATGGCAAAGTAATTAACTTTTGGAAATTGCCATATTTCAACATTTCCAGAAAAGAGTGTAAGCATGTATGGATTACTGTTGTTTTTTGTGATAAAAATTATGATTCCCTGTGGAAATAATCAGATGTTCTAATTTTACTTTCTGTTTTGTTCCCTTTCTCATTAGAGTCTCAGCATGTTCACACCACCAGGAGAAAATGATGGACAACCACGTCTTGTTCCTGTAGGGCCCATTACACTTGGAACCACAATATCTGCATATGTAGCTAAATCTAGAAGAACATTGTTGGTGGAAGATATTTTGGGGGTAAATTGTCATCTTGTTTTAAAATATTGTCTTAATTTAATTTAAAATTTGTTCTGAAGAATTAGTTGACTGAGCAATTATGTACTGGAACTAGCCTGACACCCGTGCTTCGCTACGGTATTTAAGTTCTGTAAATCCAGTTATAATACTGATGATGTGAAGTTTGAACTGTAACATTTGTTATAGGAATTCTAATGGAGAAGATTAAGCTCTGAGAAGTTAAAACACAGGGATAAGGGGGTTAACTGTGTTTTTCCATAACAAAGCTAACTGTTGCCCAGTATCAATGTATCTGAGAAAATGTATGTACACATGAAAGCTAATAGCTTGAATAAACGTTTGTTGGTCTTAAAGGTGCCACTGGACTCAAAGTATGTTCTGCAACCCAGTCAGTATTCCCAATCAGTGAAACAAGGAGGCAGAGTTAACTATCTCTTCCCCAGAAAACTGTGGTTTCCCAGCAAGCCCAGTCCACATTGGACCCCTCGTGACTGCCAGTAAAATCACACACCTAGGGGGTCCAATTACAGATCCTCAGTATTACATAGAGCTTTGTTCTTAATTGCAACAGGGGTGAAGACAAAGGAGTTGCTCCAAAGGCTTCTTGCAGAAGGTGGGTTTTGAGGAAGAATTTAAAAGGAGGAAGGTGGCACCATTTTCTGAGGGTTAGAGTAGCAGGGTATTAGAGACAGCAAATGCAGAATAATGTAAGTGAGCAACAGTGCAATCCTAAATAGAGTTGCTCCCTTCTAAATCCATTGAATCTGGTTGGCTTGAAGGATGGAAGTGTTTAGCATTGCACTACAAGAGACCACTGAATAGTTGAGAGTGCAAATGTCAGGGGATAGTTACATTGGTGTATGGGGGTAAAGAATAAAGCGAGGGCCATGATCATGGAGGACTTTGAAGGTAAGAATAAAGAGTTTGTGCTGTATCTTGGAACTGGATATAAAACCACTGGAGGAATTTAAAGAGGAGTGAGCACATCGAAACTTGGTCCCAGAGACTTCAGCTGGGCTGCTTAACCTACTAGTCTAGTTTGCGATTCTGGTTGCTGGATTCTTTCATTAGTCACCATCACTTTGTTTATATTTTAATATATTTTTAATATCCATACCTTTCAAGGTATTTTCAAATAAGTTCAGCAAGTAAAAGAAAGTGTATGTGTATCATTTTTTTACACTTTTTTCTTATGCTTTTTAAAAACAAAAAGCATATCTGGCATAAAATGCTTTTCCCGGTTGCTGTAGCAATGAAGTACCTATGTTGACAGATTTGTATGATGTATTTAGTAATCACAATAGTTGCATCAAATTATAGAAACATAAATAGTGAATGTTTTTAATAGGAATCTGTGCTCACCTGTGGAAAAGAAATCTGATTCTTGAAGCTTATCTATGTACATTGTAAATGTTGGTTTTCTCACATTCAGTGAATGCTCTATATTTACAGAGCTGTTCTTTTAATTGAAGTGATAGGTGACAGAGGAGCTCTGAGTTGATAATGGTGCTCCCAGTGTGACAGAATCATTGGACCAGGCTGCCGGAGAGTAATTGATTGTGAACCTGCAGTTCTGCTACAAACATAAAACTCTTTGCCTGTGTGGGTTTTCTCATTCTTTTCTGTTTGCATGGGAATAATGTAATGCTACAATGATATCGTTCTGTCAGGAAAATGACAGAATATCATTGCATTAATTCACAGTGTTTCTCTTGAGAGAAAAGGGCAGAAAGGCTTCATGTGCATAGGACTCTCATATAAAGCATCTCTTGTATATATTTAAACAGTACAACACTGGGGGGAAAGTCATGAGCAAGTTTCCACACTTGATTGTGTGCCTTCCTAATGTTTATACATCACACAAGCAGGGAACCCCTGAGCTCACCTCTGCAGCAGCCTAGATAATTTTGGGTTATCTATGCAACCCCTAGGTCATTCAAAATGGCTATTGAGATCTTGCAGTTCTTTGATCTTGGGCCAGAATTAGATAATGTACCCAAAGAAATCCCATACTGGCCATTACATTATGTTGCTGTTAATAATTTCTATAAAATGTTAACATGTATGGCATTTTTACATTCCTCACAGCAAGTCTGTGGAGCAGATCATTTAATAGTTAACTGAAACTCTTAATAGTCACCTGTGAAGGCCATTTAGTGAATTCAACTGAGAAATACAAGGTCCCAGTTTAACAGTCTTTATGGAACAACATTCTCCATTTGAAGAACCCTGAATAATTTTAAAGATAAGAAAAAATGCACCATTAATATAAACTTGTTCTTGATTTTTTAAAGGATGAGCGATTTCCCAAAGGTACTGGATTGGAATCAGGGACTCGTATACATTCTGTGCTTTGTTTGCCAATTGTTACTGCAATTGGTGACTTGATTGGTATCCTGGAACTCTATCGGCACTGGGGAAATGACATCTTCCATGTCAGTCATCAAGAGGTAAAGTCTACCTAGATGGCACAATGAACAAAGGTTGCTTTTGAGATGGGCAAATGTTTTTGAGAGGAAGTTAGTTTTGTAATTGTTCCCCCCTCCAAAGCATCCTTGGGAGATTTTTATATTGAGAAGAGGAGCAAGTAGACTGTGTGTTTAATCTTTTCCATGGCTGTTTTCCCACTGAGAATCAACTCACCAGCTGCTTTTTACACCTGGAGGGTACCAGATGCATATTTATATGCATCTGGAAGCCCATTGCAAGAAAAGTTCTTGCATTTCTGAGGAGAAATGATCTTGAGTGGTTGGGATTAGGAGTCAACATTATCTGGCAGCTTCTTCAAAGCCTTGGGAAAAAGAAGCATTTTGGCTTGGTCCCTGAAAGGAGGGTAGGTGTCAGGCAAGTCTCAAGGGAAAGGGCATTCCAGATGTGAGGTACCAGTGCTGGGAAAGCCCCGTTTCTGGTCACCACCTACCACATGTCTGTAGATAGGAGCACAAAGAGCAGGACTTCTGAGGAAGTTTTTAGCTGACAGGCTCAACAGTATGGGAGGAGGCTGTCATTCGAGTACCCAGACTCCAGGCCATTTAGGACCTTAAAAATAAGAGTGAACTCTTTGAATTGTGCCTGGAAACGAAAGGGCAACAAATTGCAGGAGGAGATCTTTCCTCTCTTCTCCACCTTGACTGGCCTTTGGTTGCAAGCAGCAATAGTTTGTGAAGCAACCTGTTTGGTACATAGCAAATGTATATGGACTTCCTCTTAAACAGAATGGATAATGCACTGCAGTACACGTGCACCTGTTTGCATTTGGCCAAGGGCTGGGAGGACAGGGACTGTGCTCTCTGTTTACTGTGGCTGCCCTTATAGAATGGAAACTTTTATGTTGTTTGAAAGCTTTCAGTGTTTTAAACTAGAAATTATTGAATAAATACATTGATCACTGTCTTTTGAAATGATCATCTCTCATTTTGTGGAGCCACTATATCATTGACACCATAGCCCTGTCTAAGTGGCATTCTCACACTGGTTATGATTCAGAGAGTTTCACAGATGCATGGAAGATGTGTTTTTAACATCAAGGATACAAGCCCACCTGTGCTGCATTGTAATCTTTGTGGAACAATATAGGGTGGCTGTTGGTGGTTCTGTTCAGGAGCAAAAATGATGATCCCTTTTGTGTATGGAAAAGTAGCCATCTACCATCCATGTGTAAATCTATTGGTCTGCTTGTACTAAGTTTATTTATTTAAAACACTTTTATACTGCCTTTCCACACAATCAAGGTCCCCAAGATGGCACATATAAAAACATTAAAACATTTAAACAATTAAAAAATAAATTATTAAAAAGTCAATAAAACACATAAGCAAACAATACCATACAAACAAAAAGTTATAACAGTTAGATCCAAACTTTTTTTCCTGCATAAGCAAGATGTATCCCAAGGTATTTTTTGCTCAAATCAATATTTTGGTGAACTTGCACTACTGAACAGTACAACACATGTTTTTCTTTCCACTCATACTTTGCTGGATCCTAACCCTTTGTTTCTGTTATTAAGATTGATTCATGATATATTGACATTGTTAAACAGTGATGTTCTGTTTTAAACAGTGACATGTTATATTTTATACTCACTAGTATAGCCTTTTTAAAGTTATTGTTGGTTAATATTTCTTCTGTGTTTTTAAACTTAATTTAGCATATTTTTATCATCACTTTTGTCATGGAAAAATCAGTTGAAACTTTTAAAAGTTCAAAATTAACCCATAATCCATTTATGAAATTCCATATTTCACCCTGTGACTGGCAGACAACAGGTGTGTTAATGATCTGAAGCTGAACTCTACAACAGAAGATTTAACAGATGGTTTATTGACTTAGTGGACTAAATGAGAATATTTCATTCTTATGGGCTTACTTTCTGAATGAGAGAAACATTTAACAGTATTTTTAAAAAAACATTTATTTTCAAGTTTTAACAATACAAAGTATTGTTTACTTAGTATTTAAACTCCAGTCTTCCTACCGGCATGAACTAAAAGGAGGGTAGGCGAGCTCTTTTATGGCACAATTATTTTACGTGATTTTTTAAATACACCAAAACTATTGTGCCAGTTACTGTACTCTTTGAAAGGCTGAAAATGTTTTACATCTTTCATGAAATAAGGTTTCTTTTTAAAAATGTTTCAGGTTGCAACAGCCAATCTTGCATGGGCCTCAGTAGCATTACATCAAGTAGAGGTAAGTCTCTGAATTACGTTGTATTGCTGAATGAACATAATATACTAATGCTAGCATAATAAAACATTACCACATCAATCTGGTAGTACCTAAATGATGAAAAATAGAAGTAACTGTCAAAAGATAACATCAGACCATGAACAACCTTTCTGCTATGGGAATAAACTTTCTGTAGCTTTTTATAATTGCCAATATACCCATTACTTGGGAGCTAAAAACTGTTGTATCCTATGCCACCTTAGTAAATGCATGTAAAATTTTCCTATCAAAGAGGCAGAAACAAATAAATGTTGGAAAAACAAACTTTATGGAAAGGAAACAGTCTCATATACTTATAATTGGGCTGGTAGCATATTTGGGTATTGAGTTAAACTTTGTAACATTTATCTTATTTATTTAAACATTTATTAGCTGCCTTTCTCCCTTCCTAAACTCAAGGCAGCTTACAAAGTAATGATTATAAAAACACATTAAAATAATATAAATAAAATAACAGTTATAAAAACACACAAAAGGTCACATTTTTGATTTAACATTGAAAGCATTGTACTCTTCAATTGTATATTGTCATCATACAAACTAATTTTATACTGTGCACAAAATTAGGTACATTTAACCAATAAATATATTATTGGAACTTTGTTGTATACGTTTACAGAACACACAGCAATTATTAGCAAATAACTACTTCCGAACATCCCTGACCTAGATAGCCCAGGCTAGCTCAGTCTCATGAGATCTTGGGAGCTAAGCAGGATCAGCCCTGGCTAGTATTTGGATGGGAGACCTCCAAGGAATACCAGGGTCATGACGCAGAGATAGAAAATGGCAAACCACGTCCGTACATCTCTTACCTTGAAAGCTCTATGGGGTCGCCATTAGTCAGCTTTGACTTGATGGCAATCAAATAAAATAAAATCTAAACATCGCCACAGTGTGTGGATCAAAAAATTTACACCACAGTAACATGTTCCTCTAGTGGAGATTTTTCTGTAAACCTGGGAGAACCCTCCAGTTTGCAGGAAAATATGAAGATTGAAGAAGAGAAGGATTTTTTAAAAAAGTGAAAGACAAAACTAGATCTTGGGGCACATCATTAGGTCAGCTGCCATCTTAGAGGTTGCCTAGCAACCCCTAAGATGCATTGCCAGGGCTAGGGTAGAGGGAAGGGACCGGCAGGGTATTTTTTCTGGGGGAACACACTGGAACAGAATTCTGGAACCTCTTTGACAATTCTTTTAAAAAAATGTTTAAAAATTCATGAGTTTTCAGTATTCAGATTGAAAACTTCATTTCTCTCTTGAGAGTTCAGGCACCTCTCTCTCTTTTTTAAAAAAAGCTGGTAACAGAAGCTGCTGGAAAGCAGAGTAATAGATGGTGGCAAAGGCCACTGCTGGTGAGAGAAAGCAGGCAGGTGGCAAAGAAGCTGCTGGAAGCCAGGTAGGGAAGGGTATGGAGGCAGCATTGCCCATCATCTTGGTAGCAGTGGCCAGGAGAAAAAAATGCTTGAAACAGAAACCTGTATCTGTGTGCTTTCTGCTCTGAGTCTCCTTTCCACCACCATCCAGCTCATGAAGGAACGCTTGAAGCAGGAAATGTGCATGACCAGCTTTTTGCTCCAACCCTCCTTGTCTTCACCATGTGCTTTGAACTCCAGCCACCCTTTCCCCATGCAGTTGGCTAGTGGTGAAAGGTGGCTGGTCCCATCAACTCTCCTCTGGGAAAATAAGAGGGAAGGAATTGGGGGTAGAATTTTCCTTCTCCCACAACTCCTTGCGGATCTGGGTGCTGCTGAGTCTGTCCCAGTCAGCACTGTATAGCACACAAGATGGATAATGACCCACCTTAGCAGCCATCCTTTTGTACCAACTTGTCATTATCTAGTGCTGTAGATTGCCTTGTATAACTGTCTTACATACAAACCCTCCTACTACATATTTTGAGTGAATAAAACCTTGTTTTGAAAAGCTTTTCACTCATTTCAAAAGAGAACATGTTCCACAGGAATTTCTTTCCATTGTTCACCTAAAAAAAAAAGTCCTTTAAAAAACAGAAAATAATTGGGTTTTTCCACCAGTCCCCCCCCCCGCCGCCGCCGCCTTCACACCTCTAGTTCGGTCTGTTTCTCTTTTTTCTATGCACCTAAGGAAAAACAGTATATAGTTGCTATTAGGAGTCGTTAAAAGATGACTTAACTTTTTTTACCGTTTTTTTACCATATTCATTGGTTGGAAGAAACCGAGAAAAGGCAATCTTTGTAAACCAAAAACTAAACACTTTAGCTCTCTAAACAGGTTTGTGGAAAGTATCCTAGGCCATTGTTTTCAGAAGTTATATCCAAAGGATGAGGAAGGCAGTCTTCAGGCCTACTGATAAACCATATATGTTCCACAGATTCACTCTGATTCTAATCTTCTGCTTAAATAAGCAATAGTATGTCCCATGTTCCCGTCAGGTGTCAAAGGGCCTTGCCAAACAGACTGAACTGAATGACTTCCTGCTTGATGTATCAAAGTAAGTGAAACCTGAATCTCAGCCTCCACAGCTGTATAACATGCATTTTCCCCCTGCTCAATTGATGTTCCATTCCACTTCAGCTGTATTTACTTAATCTTTGGGGGTCTAGTTTACTTCTTTCTAATATTTATTCCTATATGATGAAAAGCATCAAACAGATCACTGGATTAATGAATTGTAGATATGAAAATAGATTTGTGAGTTTACTGCTTAATTGTGGAATGTTGAAAGTAATCAACTGAGAACCTGTTGAGACCTAGTTAATTACTCTCAGCATTCCACAACTAAGAAATATATGTTTACACATCAGTCTCTAATTCTGATATATTTAGTTGCTTCACTATGTTTCCCCCCGGAATTAAATCCAAACAAACGGTGACCATATAAATTAAGATTGTTATTCCTGTTTGGTCCTTGCATCTGTTAAACATCTTCATTATGTTGTATGCTAATTTGCTGTTCACCCTCTACCTATATGTATGGACTGATAATTTCTTTTTCAGTGTATCTGAAGTGTGCATGCACACGAAAGTTTATACCTTGAATAAAACTTTGTTGGTATTAAAGGTGCCACTGGACTTGAATTTTGTTCTGTTAGTTCAGACCAACACAGCTGCCCACCTGAATGTGTGAGTGGTTTCAGAGAACCTCCCCAAGAATATCATCAAAATTATTCAAGCTCCTGCTGGACTCCCTAGTTGACAGCCTTATAGCCTTGGGATTAGCAATTCCAAAGGATGGAGAAGGGAGCCTTTAAGGACATGGCTGACCAAATGATGAAATTTGCCTTGCAGAAAACCCATGTGAATTCTGCTCTCAGATATTATATTCTTGGTGGCCATGTCTCCTTTGGTACTGTGGGTTTGCAGACTCCAAGAAGAAATACCACAAAACATGCACCTCTGTGAGATAATACACAAGATTGCCAAGGTCTCTCCCTTCAGGATTCAGATTTTTTTAGCCAGGACCACAACATATTCAGTGGTGGCCAGATGTAAATTACAGCTTAACAGCTGACGTGTATATAGTCACAGCCAGTGTTCCCTCTAAACTGAGTTAGTGTGAGCTAGCTCACAGCTTTTTAGCCTCCGACTCACAGATTTTTGCCTTCGCTCAGGAAGGATGGCTCCAGGGCAAACTAATTTATGCAGCAGCCAAATTGCTCACTCACAACTTTAATGCCAGTAGCTCACAAAGTAGAATTTTTGCTCACAAGACTCCACAGCTTAGAGGGAACATTGGTCACAGCATCTAAATACAACATGACCACTTCACTCTCTTTTTTGGTGCAAACTTTTAGGAGAAACATTATTTTATTTATTGAAACAAAGAAGAAAATTGTGCCCTTCACCCTGAGAAGGGAGAAGTGCAAATCGTGAGGATAATGCTAAGAATGTTTTCAGTCTCTTAAGAGTCTCACCTAGAATTTAAGACAAAAGAAAGCCTTCATGGCCTACATAGGATAGTACTGGCAAAGGAAGCACATCCCAAACAGATTGCGAAGTGGACAGGTCCTTCAACAGGTTCAAATGCAAAGGTGGAGAAAATATTATTGCCCTGGTGTTCCCTTGGCTCCAAGGACTGCTTTTTGTATCCCCTCCCCCAAATGGCTAACCCTGTAAAATAATCAGGACACTTAGGGAGGAGAAGACAGAGCTAATCTGCCTGACACCACTCTAGCCAAGGAGACCATGATTGGGTGGAGCTATCAATGGAATCTTATTTTTCTCAAAGTGGCCAGGAGAGGAGTCTTTTGCGCTTTCTTCATATTGTTCTAGTTGTGTAAGTACTTAAGTGGGCTTGATTCTGGGGACTGGTGAGGTCCTTACAAGGGTTGGCGGGATTACTGTAAATTAGTGTTAGCAATTTAATGTAGAACACCGAGTACCCTGAGACATCTGAGGATAAAGGAAGGTACCCAGTCTGTGCAGTCTTGGATGATTTAAACTAGGAGAAGGGGTTGAGGGATGGCTGTCACCTTTTCAGTTCCTACAGGAAATGATGGGGGGGGGGCAAGGATTATGGTCAGTACTGAGCTTGGAGCCAGGATAAGATTGCCCTAGTGCCATTAGACGTCCTTTTAGGGACCCCCCACTGGGGGGGATTTTTTAGTTGCAGATTTAAGTTGTGCCTTAAACTAATTCTAGAAACCATGTAGTATATTTGAATGTTGGGAAACGTGGGCAAGGCAGATTCATGGTAAATTCCGTGTTCCATTTCTTAATAGGCATGATTTGTACATTATATATATATATATTTAAGTAACTCTGGTTTTCATTCAGCAAATTTGTAGCATGATGGACCCATTTTCCTAAAATGTAGTAATGGATATAAAAGAAAGGTGTTAATCGTTGTCATTAATTGATTAAAATGTAGAAAAATTGTCCTATGTATTTGCCTTCTTGTGTCCCAAGATATAATACAAGAGAAAAGTAGTTGTAAATGTAAGGTCCATAGATGCATGTCTGCCTTCTGGAAATGCTGTAATACAGTAACTGTTGAATCTTAGTATGTAGAATATTGGATTTCCTAATAAATTTGACATTTATTTTTTGATGACTTGTCTGTCTTTGGATAGCACATACATCTTATTCAGAGATTGCTGCAGTTGTAGTTTTGCAGAAGCTCAGTCGGTTTCCAGATGCAACATGCTATACTGGGTTTATTAAAGAATGTAAGTGTTCTGACACAAGCAGAATGACACTGGGAAGGGGAGTACAAGGATCTTCAGAATGTGCAGAAGGAAAAAAAATGAAATAAACATTGCCTAAGTAAAAATTGCCTATCATTACATTAACAAAGTCATTTCAAAATAGCATTGTATTAAATATAATGAGCTAGCACAGACAAACATCATGAAAATATTTGAAGGCACCGAAAGCAAGATTTTAATGTCCATTTGGTTATCACCTTGTTTTTAACGGATTGTAGTTTAAGATTACAGTTTCCACTTAAATGGTCTTATTCATAGTTTTTAGTCTGTTTTAATTCTAATTTGTATGTTTTAAACTTGTTTATAAACGTTTTCCATTTTATTGTAACCCACCTCAGGTTCTTTGGGAGAGAGGTAGGATAGAAATGCTTTAAACTTATAAAACTGCTTTGCAGAATTGAAGGGCCTTATGGAGTGTAGCATTGTGGCTAAGTTAGGGGTGGGTCAGGGAAGCTGATTGGGTGACTTTGGCCCCATCTGTCCCTCTTAGCTCAATCTGTCTCCCAGGGCTGTTGTGAGAATGAAATGGATGCTACCCTGAACTGCTTGGAGGAAGGAGGGATACAAATATGATGGATAAAAATCTCCAGAACTGTTTGCACAGCATACAGTTGTGCTTGTGCTAAATAACTAATTGAGGTCTGGCTTATTTACCTTTGATAGCATATATCCCCTCTTGCTGGTGAGGGGGGAATTGAATTCATTCCCTTACTCCAGTCCCCAGGCAGGTCAAAGTTGACAATTCCAGTCTTCTGATAGGTCTCTGTTCATGGATCCAGTCTAAAGCAGGATCTATTAATACAACCCATGTTGCCAAATGTGCCCAGGGCTTTGTTAATTGTTGTTTCTCTTTTTTTTGGGTTTGCTTTCCCTTCATTTGTTCTATTACCCTTTGTTTGCTGAGTCTTTTATGCTGCTATTTTATTGTGCTGTTTTATTGATAATGTTTGGTGCTTTATACATAATTGATTTTGCTGAAAGGGTCTGTGTTATGGAGAATGAAAGTAGTAAATCATATAAATAAAGAAATAATATTTTCGTGGAAAGGCACATACTACCCAATGCACAAAGGTCTGCATTGGGAAGAAAGCTTACCTTGAGGGTTTCTCGGACAGGTGGTCATCAACCGATGTTATCATTAACTAAACACCAGCTCATGTTATTGTGAGGTGAGATCTAAAATAATTTTTTGTTTAAATTAGAACTTTATTTCTTCTTCTGCAGAACATATTTTGATAACATAGTCGCAATAGATTCTCTACTTGAACATATCATGGTAAGATTTTTTTTCTTGAAATTTCAGCATTATATTGAACTTTTCAGTCTCTCTGTTTGAAATAAAGTATACAGTTGTGGGTTTTTTTTAACTTACCCTTGGATGGATATATGTATCTCTTTCAAATCAATGTATATGGTACCTCTCGTTCACTCATAAGAACATACCGAAGAACATAAGAGCTCTGCCAAATCAGGCTAAGGTCCACTTAGTCCAGCATCCTGTTTCCCAGTGATCAGCCAGGTTCTCTACAAGCAAGACGTGAATGTTTACAGCTTTTTGCTGCCTTCCAGCAATTGATGTTCACACTGCTCTGAACACAGAGGTTTGTCATCATGGTACCTGTGCAGTCCAACATGGGTACTTTGCACATGCAAGCCTACTGCTGAGAGGTTTTTGAAGCTCAAAAACCATCTGAGGGCTCTCTGTCCCCCTTCCCCATGCTGTTTCCCATTTTTTTCCAACATGATCAAGAGGAGATAGAGTGCCCTTCCCTCAGTTCTTTCTCTGCTGTTGTTGAGAGAGGTCCATTATTAAAAGTTCCATCATTCTTCATCAACACTAAGCTGCCAACATTCCTGCCTCAAATCTGCCTCTGTTGAGCTTTGCATCCCAAAAATGGTGTAAAAAGCCCTCTTAAAAAAAATTCTAGTCTTGTGGCCCCGGTATGACAGCCAATGTGACGTAGCAGTCAGGGCTTCAGAGCACGGGAGAGGCTGCAGGTGTGTGGGGGGGGGGAAAGCTGAATAGTGAGGGGGAAATAAAGGTAGGTTGATGATTGGCTGAGAAGGAGATAGGGTTGCCAACTCCAGGTGGGAAATTCCTGGAGATGTGAGGGATGGAGCCTGGAAAGGGTGAGGTTCCAGGAGGCGTGGGACCTCGGACAGGTACAAAGCCATAGCCTCCACCCTCCAAACCAACCATTCCCTTCTGGGGAACCATCATTGCCAATCTCCAGGTGAGGGCTGGAGATCACTCAAAATTACAACTGTTCTTTAGGTAGCAGAGATCAGTTCCTCTGGCAAAAATGGTGGACTCAGTGTCATTATACCCTGCTGAGGTCACCACAGCAAATTGACACTGAGTGTCCAAGGCCAGGGCACCCGCCCAGAGCCTCTTTCTAGAGGCTGTTGTATTTATTTCCACAACGGGCCTTTTCCATAGTATGTTATATTTACTTTTGTATACCAGGGCTTAATTCACTTGTCTCTGTTGCTTTGCCTTTAAGCCAATCTTTTTTTAAAAACTTCCCCAAATGTAAGGGTGTCATTGATTTAGTGGCATAGCAAAATCAACACTCTACCTATTGGATTTTTTTTCTACTCCCATTATATATTGAGAGTTGCAAATATATGAAGTACAGTCTGTTCAGAAATAGTGTCATGGTTCAGGTATTTATTGACCGTATTTCTGTACTCTTATTCCTCATTGCTCAAAGCCAGCCAGACACATGATATATTAAAACATTAACATAAACGCTAAAATACTAAAATCAAGTCAGGGAAAAGCCCACTAAAATAATACACCCTTACACTGCTGCTAAATTGAAGGGGGGGAAAGGCAGTCCTTAGTTCAGCTGGCAGTCCATTATATCCTTTAAGGGATATAAAAAGAGAGCAACTTATTTTGCAAGGACCTTAAGGTTCATTCAGGTTCATATGGGGAGATACAGTAATTCAAATATGAGAATAAGTAACATAAAAGGGCTTTAAATCAGCATTTTGTATCAAATCTGAAAACAAATAGATAGCCAGTGCAGCTGCTGTAATACTGTTGTCCTTGTATTGTTAATAGATGGACTGCTGCATTCTGCACAAGTTGCAGCTTCCGTTTTATCTTCAAGAGCAGCTCCACATAGAGCTTGTTACAATAATCTAGCCTTGAAGTTACAGTAGCATGGATCACAGTATTGCTAGTCTTTAAGGCTTGGTTTCTGTTATTAAAAGGCAAGGGGCAGGGGTGGGGCCCTTTCCTGGCCAGGGAGCAAGCACCAGGAGACTTGCTGTCATGTGACTTGCATGTCTCACCCAGGACCAGCTGCTTGCTACTGCTCAACAGCAGCAACCTGATGACAGCCAGTGTGGTGTAGTTGTTAGAGTTTCAGACCAGGGTATGGATGACCAAGGTTCAAATCCCCACTCTGCAACTGAGTGATCTTGGATTGGATGCATACTTTCAGCCTAACCAACCTCACAGGGTTGTTGTGAAGATAAAGTGTAAGAGAATTATGTAAGTTGCTTTGGATCCCCATTGTGGAGAAAAGCAAAATATAAATTAAGTACATGAATAATAAATATAGCTAAAGGGAGGGGCAAATAAAGGTAGGCTGTTTGGTGAGTGGAAAGAAGAAAATGAAGGGGAAAGGGAGCTGACATAGGCGCTCCGCCAGGGGGAGGGATATAGGAAATAGTGTGGGGAGGGGGGATACAGGAGAAAGTGAAGTGCCTGAGTCCTTGCAAGCTTCTGTTTTTGTCAGTAAAAGGAAGGAAGGCCCCTTCCAGGCCAGTTTGATGTAGTGGTTAGGAGCGTAGACTCTAATCTGGGAGAACTGGGTTTGATTCCTCACTCCTCCACATGCATCTGCTGATGTGACCTTGGGTCAGTCACAGTTGTCTTGGAGCTGTTCTGGAAAGAGCAGTTCCTGAAAGAGCTCTCTCAGCCCCACCTACCTCACAGGGAGTCTGTTGTAGGGAGGGGAAGGGAAAAGAGATTGTAAACTGCTCTGAGACTCCTTCGGGTAGTGAAGGGCAGGGTATAAATGTAATCTCTTCTTCTTTGATGGAGGAATCCTTGGGGCCAGGCCTGACAAGCATTGTCAGTACCAGGCTGGGGAATTCCTAGAGGTTTTGTGGTGGACTCTAAGGAGGGCTGGGTTTGGGGAAGAGAGAGGCCTCAGCTGGGTATAATGCCACAGAGTCCACCCTCCAAAGCAGCCATTTTCTCCAGGGAGACAAATCTCTGCTGTCTAGAGTTCAGTTGTAATTCAGGGGGGTCTCCACTTGGAGGTTGGAAAACCTAGGCCTGGCAGCAGTCTAGGGCTGCCAGGTCCCCCCTGCCACACATGTAAATTAATGGACTCATTCACAATCAGGTTCTCTAGGCCTGCTTTTAAAGAATGAGAGATCTCAGATCTTCAGTCAGTGGTCTCTCTTACATAGATCAGATTCTTATCACAGATATTTCAGTGTTGTGCGGGGCGATGGAGTATATTTTCTGGTAAGACAGGACGTATCTGCTGAGTCCCATCCTCCCTTCATTGCCCATCCTTCCAACTTTTACCACTCATAGAAAATAGAAATTTAAAGGCAGTGAAGGGATTTGAAAACTGAAAGCCACAGACATTGTGGTAGCGCCAGAAAAACAACCAGACCTGGCACAGGCCATTCATATTAAAACATTGGAGGACATTTCATTTTGATTAGCTACATTTGTAAATGCATATTCCTAGTGCTTAATATAATGACTGACAAAAACACTGGTATAAATCACAGAGGGGTAGAAAGTGTGGATATGAAGTGTAGTGTTAGATAGTGCATCTCCCTCAAATGGTGATTATGCACTTTAAAATGACATTGATACTGATACTTTTAAAATGGCTTGCAGTTGTATTTCATAAGGATGACCACGTTCTACATTATTTTTATTATTGGCATTAGAACTCCTAAAAACAATAGAGGAATAGCAGTAAACCACAAAATATTCTTTTTGCTTATCTTTTATAAAATCTAATAAAACAGTAAAAATTTGTTAAAAGTTAGAAAAGCAAACTAACTCATAACTGCTATTTACAGCTTTGTAAGTAGTTAAGCTTCTGAAATATATGCCATTTTGTTTTCTGTTACAGTACAAAACAGATATAAGTTCTGGAAACAAAGAGCCTTTGTCTAACTTTGAAGGTCCATCTGCCTCACTCAGCTTTATTCTGGCTTCATACCCCATTAGCTTTCCACAACTGAAAAGGATTTTAAAATATACCATCAGCTACCATGCTGTTCCCCCCTCCCTCCTTCTACCATCCTCCTCCTTAGTAGAAGCATGGTGGCAAAAAAGTAGAAAAGACATGAGCAAGCTGAAGCTTGTAGCTATAAAAATAATGTAAAACAAAGGAATTGGAAAAAGCACCTATAGGGTTTTTGTAAAGTTTTCATAATAGTTACTTTCCATATTGAAAGGTAACATGCACTCATCTGAGCGGACTTTGATTAATCCTAGTTTTGTTCTTTGTAGATATATGCAAAAAATCTGGTGAATGCAGACCGCTGTGCGCTATTCCAGGTAGACCACAAGAACAAGGAACTGTATTCAGACCTATTTGATATTGGTGAAGAAAATGAAGGGAAACCTGTCTTTAAGAAGACCAAAGAAATAAGGTAGGTCTAGAAAGCAGGTAGTAGTTTAATATTCTGTGCCGATGTCTTAACCCAGTTTCTACACATATTTGCAGGTGCTATGACAATTCTTGTCATACTGTGATATCATTCCCACCAGGACCTGCCTCCAGAAGGTAGTACTTCTGGGAATAATATTGCCTTGCTGGTGAAGCTACATCTCTGAAGCTGTAGCAATGCTCCTGGAAATGCCATCTTCCAGAGGTGGTCCTTTTGGAAATCATGTATGGAGAAATCTGGTGCTTCTCAAAAGTAGGTAATGTAGAAGTCTTAAAGTATATTACAACTTTTCATATACAGGAATTTCATTTCTTAGTGTGAAATGGTCAAACCCAAATAAATAAATTGTAATGAACATTCATAAAGGAGACTGTAAAGTGTCTGTGGCAATGTAAGGTCCATGGACCATCCCTGGCTTGCTTAGGCTTTCCCGTCATTTCTGTCAGACACAGCTGACCCACAGGAGAATTACACATGGCAGCCACACAGGTCTTTGTAGAAAAGGGGGAAAGCTTTTGCCCTCTAGTATAGGCTATTCTAAAAGATGGTTTAGTGGGAGTGATCTGCTGAGTCTGTGCAGGTTTAGTGCATGATCTGCTTTTGTTTTCCCTGTGATGTTTAAGCATTTTCAGGTTCTAGAATGACAGTGCAATCTTATAGTCCTGGCTACAGTAGTGATTGCTTCCACCAGGGTAACTACAACGTAGTATAGTTGGTATCCTAAGCACTGTTGGCAGCAAAATTAAAGGGAAAATACCATTTTAAATGATGGAGAAAAAGCAACACTATTAATATCCACCAGTTACAGAATGGTATGTTTATGGCATCATATGAGCTATGTGGCTGGAAGGAACCTGTCCATGCATAGCAGCAATCGCACTTCTGAAAAGATGCATCCTGAAAGACATAAACACAATACAACACCCTTAACATTATGAACCCCTGTAATACAAACATTAGGTGCTTGTAAACAGCATACTCTGCAGATTTCTGCAGATATGGCAGAAAGCAGAAAAGGGCATTCATACCACATCACCCAGCTAGGGATGCTTGAACACTCAGGATGCTAACATCCTGTTTGCCATTTATGACCAGGGAGTTGATTTTTCACTCAACAGTTGGACCCTTTTGGTGACCTATTTGGCACGTTACTTCACTGTATTTTTTTCCCAAACTGTGTAGTATAGTACAATTGGGGTTTTGTGCATGTATGTTCTCACATAGCCTGATTAAGTTCTACTACTTCTGTTTCTTGCAGCATAATTGCCCCTCTCGATAAGATATTGTCAGTCACAAATCAAAGAAATCAGTCATATCATTTAATAAAATCCTACCCTTTGATGGAGTAATGATTAATAATGGAGCACACAAACACTCTAGGAGTAAGCACACACTATGAACCAACAAGGCATAAATCAACAGGGGTTAAACACAATCCTCTTTC